TTACTTGTCTTCTCGAGCTGCCCTTTGAAATCTTCCGTTTGACTCATTTTCTTCATCATTTCTTCCATTTACTTTAGCTACTTGACATTCAAGAGCAAGTTTCAGAGTCTCTTGTGATATCCATTTCGATTTTTTAAATGACCTGTTGTTTTCTTCATGTATGATGTCCTTGATGTCATTTAACAACTCATCTGGTCTTCGGTCATTAGTGTTCAATGGGTCAAATATATTCTTGAGATGATCTCTAAATTCAGATGGGATATACTCAAGGTCATACTTTGGCTCTTGTGAACTTGTTCTAATTTTCTTCAGCTTCAACTTGAATTTGGATATAAGCAATGGATGGTCTGTCCCACAGTAGGCCCCCAACCTTGTTCTGACTGATGATATTGAGCTTTGCCATTGTCTCTTTCCACAGATGTAGTCGATTTGATTCCTGTGTATTCTAACTGAGGAAATCCACCTGTATAGTTGACGTTTATGTTGTTGAAAAAAGGTATTTGCAATGAAGAAGTCGTTAGTCTTGCAAAATTCTATCATGAGATCTCCGGCGTCGTTTCTATCACCAAGGCCATATTTTCCAACTCCTGATCCTTCTTCTTTGTTTCCAACTTTAGTATTCCAATCAACATTAATTAGCAAGACATCCTGATCACACGTGTGATCAATTTCAGACTGCAGAAGTTGGTAAAAATCTTCAATTACTTCATCTTTGACCTCAGTGTTTGGTGCACAAATTTGAATAATAGCCATATTAACTGGTCTTCCTTTTTGTGTATGGATATTATCCTATCACTGACAGTGTTGTACTTCAGGATAGATCTTGAAATGTTCTTTTTGATGATGACTGCAACACCATTCCTCTTCAATTTGTCATTCCTGGCATAGCAGACCATATGATTGTCCAATTCAAAATGGCCACTACCAGTCCATTTCAGCTCACTAATGCCTAGGATAGCGATGTTTCTGTATTGCATTTCATTTTTGACAATTTCCGATTTTCCTAGATTCATACTTCATACATTCCACTTTCCGATTATTACCAAATGTTTGCAGGTGTTTCTTCTCATTTTGAGTCGTGCCACATCAGCAAATGAAGGTCCCGAAGCTTGTCTCCATCCATGTCATTAAGGTAGACCCTACTTTGAGGAGGCAGCTCTTCCCCAGTCATCTTTCGACTGCCTCCCAGTCTGAGGGGCCCATCTTCCAGCACTGTATCAGACAATGTTCTGCTGTTATTCATAAAGTTCTCACTAGCTAATATTTTTCAGAAGTAGACTGCCAGGTTCTTCTTCCTAGTCTGTGTTAGTGTCGAAGCTCAGCTGAAACCAGTCCACCATGGGTGACCCTACTGGTATTTGAACACCAGTGGCATAGCTTCCAACGTACGTCAACAAGCAAGCCCATACAGTATGATAGACTGACAGATGGGTGGGGGACATGTGTAATTCGGTCCCTCAGGGAATTTGTATGTGTCTATGAATCTTCTGTGACGTTGCCTTAATCAAGTTGTGCTGACTTCCCAGGTATTGTGTACTGCCTTATCCTTCACTGAAGTTACCACTTACCTATTGTCTAGTTAGTGTTTTTCCCTCCCCGCTCTTCCCCTCCCTCGTAACCATCAAAGATTGTTTCTCTCTGTGTGAAAACTCTTTCATGAGTTTTTATAATAGTGGTCTTACATACAATATTTGTCCTTTTATGATTGACTTATTTCACTCAGCATAATGCCCTCCGGAACAGCATAATGCCCTCCGGATTCATCCATGTTGTGAGATGTTTCACAGAGTTATCACTGTTCTTTATTGTTGCACAGTATTCCATTGTGTGTATGTACCATAGTTTGTTTATCCATTCATCTGTTGATGGACTCTTAGGTTGTTTCCATCTTTTTGCTATTTTGAATAATGCTGCAATGAATATGGGTGTGCATATGTCTATTTGTGTGATGCCTCTTATTTCTGTAGGATACATTCCTAGGAGTGGGATTGCTGAATCATATAGTATTTTTAACTTTTTAAGGAAGTACTATATTGTTTTCCAAAACGGTTATACCATTTTGCATCCCCACCAGCAGTGCATAAGCATTCCAATCACTCCAACACTTGTTATTTTTTCTTTGTTTGTTTGTTTTATTCTTGCCAGTAATGTTGGGGTGAGATGGTATCTCATTGTAGTTTTGATTTGCATTTCTCTAATAGCTAGTGTTCACAAGCATTGCCTTGCGTGTCTGGTAGCTGCCTGAATGTCTTCTTCAGTGAAGTGTCTGTTCATATTCTTTGCCCATTTTTTAATTGGATTATTTGTCTTTTTTTCACAGAGGTGTTCAGATTTTCCGATAGATTTTAGGGACTAGAACTTTGTCAGATATAGCATAGCCAAAACTTTTTTCCCAGTCTGTAGGATTTCTTTTTACTCTTTTGGTGAAGTCTTTTGATGAACATAAGTGTTTAATTTTTAGAAGGTCGCAGTGATCTAGCTTATTTCTGGTGTTTGTGTATTGTTAGTTATGGTTTGTATAGCCTCTAGCATTGACCCTATTTTTTCTTCCATGATCTTTATGGTTATTGGTTTTATATTTAGATCTTTGATCCATTTTGAATTAGTTTTTGTGCATGGAGTAAAGTATGGGTTTTGTTTCATTTTTTTACAGATGGACATCCAGGTTTGCCAGCACAATTTGTTAAAAAGACTGTCTCTTCTCCATTTAATAGACTTTGGTCCTTTGTCAAAGATAGAGTGACCATAGGTGGATGGGTCTTGTTTTTTTGTAAAGAGAATATAAGTATGTCCAGGAAGAAGTTTTTCAATGTAGTGAATTATGTCAAACATTCATTGTTTCTAATTTTTATGTAACAATTGGTTTTCTACCCCAAAGTTATACAACCTTTCAGTTTTGGCATTTCCAGTGATTATATTTGGTTTTATTTTTCATTTTTTACTTTTAAATTTTATATGTATTTAAAACTTAGTGTCACTGGCACTGGTGATACGTTAATCTAGGTTTTATTTTCCTAAATGGCTACCCAGTTAGCCCAACACCATTTGTCCAAATCCACCCATTTCTATTGATTTGAGTTGCTACCTCTATCATATTTTCATTTATATATTTGTTTTCTTCCCTATCTGGTGTTTTAGTTTTGCTGCATCAGTTATAAGTGGAGTCTTAAATAGCTATTTATTTTCCAATTTCTGCATGGCTTCATTGGACTAAATATGATTTGGGTGGTCTAACAACGGCTTGTTTACTCTATATTAATATCTGAATATGTCATTTACCCAAAGCCTATATTGATATAAAGGTTCCTGGGTGGCCAATACGGTTTTCGCTGAACTAGCAAACTAAAGGTTGGTGGTTCCAGCCTACACAGTGGCAATGCAGAGGAAAAGCCTACGATCTGTTTCTGTGAAGATTACAGCCAAGAGAACTCTGTGAAGCAGTTCTAATCTGTAACACATTTGGTCACCGTGGGTCAGAATTAACCCACTAGAAGCCAATGGGATTGTTATTTTTGTTATTGTCATTACTGTATTTTAATACAAAGTGGTTGCAATAGTGTGGGTAGCCAGACCATTGTGGCATGCTGTTGGGAATGTATATTTGGCAAGATCCATCAGAATTACCATCTCATGTAACATACATTGCTTCAGCAATTCCATGTATAGAAAGTACATCTATTTGAAATGTCAGATAGGATATTACTTATTGCAGCATTATTTGTATGAGCAAGATATATGTTATGATATATCCATACAATGGAATTCTTGGCTGCCAAGCAAAGAAGGAAGAAGCGCTTTCTCTATTGATCTGGAAATCACTGCAACATACATGAAGTGAAAAATCCAAGATGCATTGGAATGTATTTGGAATTTCCTTATTTGTATAAAAAGTGGAGGAAATAATATCCCTGAGAGGATACCCCAGAAACTATGCTTGCCTATGCAAGGAGGAACTGGGTGACTGGGAAGGTTGTGGGTTCAGGGATGAGACTCTTATACTTTTTCGGTGGCAACAAGTTTGGTTTTCGGTCCATCAAGCAGGGACGCTGAAGAACTAAGTGTTGTCTCTTTCGCTGTCTCTTTATGACACCCGGATATCATGAAGTGCAAAGACAGGCAAGGAACAAAATCTACTAGAGACCACGTGTCCTGCCTGCTCTCACCTCACCAAGGCGGCTTGGGGGGTCCTTGAATCTCCCCCTCGCCTGCCCCGCTCCCGCTCCCTTCCACTCATCCCCTCAGAGGTTTCCATCACTGCGTGTCCCAGGCGACCCGGGCCCTGCTGCCGCACTCCGACTCCCACTGCCATTCTACAGTCAAACGCGGGACCTTCTGAGGCGCAGAGCTGTGTTTAAGTTCACAGCCAGCAGGCCCGGCTCTCTGAGCTTCCTGAGGGGATGCAACATTGGCATTGTGGGATTTTAAGGGAATAACGATATTAGGGGAGACTCTAGCTGAATTCGACCCTCCTAGCCCTCTCTTCTGCTTTCACTTCCCTCCCCTCCAAATGACTACTTGCTGTGAGTGCAAGTGATGGCGTACTTGGCGGTCTGAATCTCTTAATGGAGTTTCTTTGCTTGAAACCCTCTCTTATGGCATTCGAATGAAGAATCTAAGTTACAAAAGATGAAGTGCAGTAACAGCGAAATTTGTTTTTAGAAACCTTCATCTTATTTGGAAGAACTGGGTTGCATCAACTTTTACTGACCGCTTGCGGGCAATGTAGAACTGCTCCATAGTGTTGTCAAGGCTTTCACCTTTTAGGAGCAGATTACCAGGCCTGTCTTCTGAGGCACCTCCGGGTGGGTTCAAATCGCCAACCTTTTGGCTAGTAATTGAGCGCTCAACTCTTCGCTTTCCCCGCTCTCGTTGCTCTGTTCCGATTCTTGTTGAGCAAAGAGCAGGAAGGGATGAGTGAAGAAGCCTATAGCAAATGTTGGTGTGGGTTTCTCTATGTCAATAGGCTTCTAAAAGAAACAACTAGGGTAAAACGAGCATAACGCCTGAACAGGGACTTGAACGCTGAACCCTCAGATTGAAAGTCTGAAGCTCTACCAACGGAGCTACACAGGCCCCTGCTTCCAACTTTTCCTGACTACCTAGTACAGGTTTTATGCAGCTCAATTGATTTTATATTTCGCGTCCTGGTTCCCAAATAGCTTCCTTGTAATTCTCCTGCTTGCCAAGAAGATTCAATTTCAAACAGATGTTATAATCACTAGGAGAATTTCCCTTCCTTCTATCTTGTCTTCTGTCCCTTTAGACTTTCAGAAACAGACTTGATTGCTAGACAAAGCACTGCTGCTTTTCTGATCACATTGCTAGACCTAGAGGGCTTCATATCCACCTGCATGTATTTTTCTCAAAACAACACTCATGCTACTCTTTTTCATATCCCTCTGCCTTATCTCATACATCTTTCTTGCAGCCTTGGAAGGTGGAGGAGAAAAGAGTTGAACGAGCCAAAAAAACGAAGACCAATGAGAGCGTTCCATAATGGTGGGGCAAGCAGAGGTGCGTAGGTTTAATCCTCTGCATCTCTATGCTTGCTTTTCTTCATAATGCAACTTCTCTACCACCTGTGAGCCACTCTTCCTACTTTTCATTTTCTTTCTCCTGTTTGTCCTCCTCTTCCTCCTTCTCTTTTGTCTCCTTTCTCTCCTCCTCTTCCAGGTCTTCATGTTATGAATACTGTTTGCTACTCACATCAAAAGAAAAATGATAATTGTCTTGATGAATTAATGTACATTAGGAAATACTATCCAGAATATGACCTATGATTCTTTTTGAGTTTTGACCTAAACTTGGAGAAAATACTGTACAAGGGATATGGGAACAAATGGGGAAGTTTTGGAGTGAAGGAAAGTTCAGCCTCTCTGGGGAGGAAAGACATGGAGGAGAACGGGAAAAAACTATTGTTTATTTCTTCCAAATAACTCAACACTTCCAAGAAAACAAGACTATGTGAAAACTGTATTTGTGATCACTTAACTTTAGAAACTTGTGGATTCCTCATCTCTTCTACCCTGCCAATATACAAGGCAGAGTTGGGGATGGGTCACACAAAATCACCTTGTTTTGTGGATCAATCCACAGGGAAACTAGGGAATGACTTTTAGGCAAAATACTTTGGGGTTAGTTAACATTTCAATGAGACAAACATCCCTCTGAGCTATTTTGGCCCTCTTCTCTGCATTTGAAATAGCTTGGAAGTCACCAAACTGCACCTCACACAACAGGACCACCCTCCCGGGGAGGTTTGGGATCCGCCACCTAGTCCCACCTCTGTATCAGGTGATTCTTTTACTTGTTAGTAGAGTATCAAGTTGTTAAAACCTATGTCGTGAATGGATTACAATAAAATATATTCCTGGCATTAACAGCAGGCATTTTCTACAAAGGGAGCTCTTGTTTGAGCTTCCAGATCTTTCTCCCTGGAGCAATGCTGTATTATATTTGAGACAGAAAAGGTACGAACATAACAACTTCTGGTGATCCCTCTCCTCATGCTGTCATCTGCCCCACTTCATTGCAGAGTTTAGTTCTTGGTTCATAATTCTCCACCCAAATGCATCATCATTATAAGTGACTTAGACAAGAACACCCTCGAAGAAATATGTCCCTTCTGATCATCTCACAATCTCAGTCTATTCGTTCTAAGTAATTGTTTTCAGAGGTTTCAGATGATATTTGGTTCCTTCTTTGAATGTTGTTAAAATTTATTCTGATCGCAAAGTCAAAAATTTGAAAACAGAAACTCAGTGTTCCCTTATCAACACTTTCACTCACAGGCTTGTACAGCATCCTCACAGCACCAGCTGTGTGGCCTAATGGATAAGCTGTCTGATTCCAGATCTAGAGGATTGAGGGTTTAAGTCCCTTTATGGTGGTCTTATTGTGCAACAAGTGGAAGAGTCATGAATTGACTTCCAGGGGCTAATTCCTGAGGTGTTGCTGGAAGGGAGAAGTGATATAGGCACAGTTTCTTCTTTCATAAATCAATAATTAACATTAAAGAGACTTTGGAAATCTAAAATGGGCTGAGACTCAAAAAGACATGGGAGCAAATCTGTGCACCCACCAATGATCATCATTCTGTCCTCTCAGTTTATTACTTCTTTGTAATGATTTTTCAAGATTTCAGTGGGTGTTTATTTCTTTTCTTCAAGATATTAGTGAATCTTACTCTAATTGCAAGGAACTTCGAATCACAAGTTCTCGTTATATTCCTTTCTCTTTACTTGTATAGATGCCTTATCTTCTCCATCAATCCCAGGCCCTTCATAGTTACTCTTCTTCTCCACCCCCCTCCCCCCTTCTCCTCCTATTTCAATTTTCAGCAATGATAGGAGCAATCTGATTTAACATCTGGAAACTAACCCATGATGTGATAGTTACGGTTTTTCTGCCAAAGATTCTACACAGATGCTAGATAATGTAAGAAAATGCAGTCTGGAAAATTCAGAACATAGTATATAACTCTTTATCTTCAAAACATTTTCTGATACCCTCATTTTTGAGACTCCTTCCAAAACATTTTGACTTCTATTCTTCCCAGGACCTACGTGGATTATACGTATAATTTAAAGGTATTGAATTTCCTGAATAGAACACAGAGAGCATATATATGTTTCTTCTAGTAAGATCAACTTTAATATCTCATAGAATCTTATACCTTAAGAATTCTTACCAAAGTCCCTCCTTTGAGGAGATGTTCAAACAGTGCTGTAAACAGTAAATTGGACCTTCTCCCAAATAATACATAAAATACACCTTTCAGACTTTCAAGTACAACTTGATTTAGCAAGAATGCATCCCTGCATCCCTCCATATCAAGAACTTACAAGGATATATTTGGAATCCAGGTTGCTGTAGCCACAGTATCAACCAATAACTTCATAGTTACCCCCAAACAATCTTAATTGTACCTCACAAGACTCAGAGCCAAATTAATCCCTGCTCTGTCATTCTGCCTGTACTCAAGTCACTGCATATCTTTGTGTCTGACAACTGTCTAATGGTCTCTTTCAAGGAGACCTTTGCTTCTTTTACTCTTCTCACATTCTATTGCTCTGATGAGCTGCCTTCTGGGTCAGCTGGGAGACAAGTTCTGTGTGAAAAATGGGGTATTACCAAGCTATAAGGGGACTTCATGTGATTTCCGTGAACATGGAGAAGATTCTTATTGGGGCAGAAGGTGGCAGAGAAGAGATACAAGTCATCTCACCTGGAGGTTGCTCCTTCTTAGGTCTTCTAAGAAATTTCAAGAAGATGATGGTAATCAGTATGAACTCCAGAGTCCAAGATCACTCTAGAGGCTAAGCTTATCCCTTGGTTTTCAATGAATACCATTAACAAGCTCCAAATCTTCAAATTGTAATGGACTCTCTTCCAGGCTCACTCTACCTCTGTGCAGACTCACTCCTCTACAGCCACATGCTTTATACAAATCTCCAGATAAGAGATTTTTGTAACTTTCTAGTCTCAGGAATCACTGCGCTTATAAAACATTAACATAAATTTGTACCTTAAATTCATAAGTATCCCAAATAATGAAGTCCCAAATCAAACTCCTTCTCTCCCCTTTCCAATCTTATCCAATGTCCCCAAAGAAGAAGAAAACAACCTAACAAGTGGTAAAATCCACTCCTCTTTTCCCAAAATGAAAGGACATAGCATCTCCAGAATCCAGAGAATTTGAAATTATCCTAAAAATTTCCAAATTTGAGTTGCATCATCAACCTTGACCTCTCAATACTGTGCCATCCTTTTCATTCCTTAAGTCACTATTTCACTCATCTATTTGACAGTAGGCCAGAAAATAAGGTTGCTGTGCACATTGAGTGAATAGCTCTTAAATAATATTGCAAGTCTGACTTTCCACATTTGAAATCTTGCTCTTCAGACTCCCACTGAGAAAAGAGAGTATGTGAATGCACTGTAAATATTTCCAGAGCTGCTCCAGGAGAAAGTTGGGCTCAGTAGCCTTCTGTGTATGAGTTAGAAAGAAGTATGGGAGAACTGAACGTATGTACACCAGAACAAGGTGGTGAATCCTAGATCCTCAGACTAGAGGCCTGGTGCACTGAGCTCTCCAGCAGTTTGATGGGTTCAAACTTGACCTTTCTTTCTCCTTCTTTCCTTTGAATATTAAGGCCGAACACGATAAAACTAAGTGGCTGCAAATACAAGATATTCTAGCCCACAGCCATGAGGGGATTCCACTTCTAAGCTCCAGTTGCTGTGCTCTCACTTGGGATCAGGACAACGACGTCTCCTTGTGGCTTTTTCCAAAGCCTCCAATACCAACAACTGCTATTTCAGACACACTCAACCACACAAGCGCTTTCCAACATGCTCAGCAATGGAAAGAGCAGCTAGGCACTCTCAGTCACGAAATTTTGGACGAAATGAGTCATATCTTTTTGTGGGAGATGCACTTCGAAAGCACTTACTTTAGCCCCTCTCTTCCCAAGGGCCTCCAGAAAGTATAATAAAGATGGGAACTTGGTCACTTTCTACCTCCACAACAGTCCATACTATCCATTCGTAGAGACCTATTTCGAAACCCTATTCCTCTTCTCTCTGACATGTACTTCTCTGCTGCTTTTTCTCTCTGCTGCTCAGCATCCTCCTTTCCCCCCTGCTATAAACCCTGCCACAGTCTCCTATTTACTCTCTTCCTCGCGCCCACTCCTCCTACATTCCAGTTCCCAGACAGGTGTCTTTCTAATATAGTAGGAACTTAACGTATATATTCTGGACTACCAACCCTTCCATCCAAGAAGATTTGGATTTCCTCCCTCATACCTGGATTAACAATCGCATCACTTCAGGAATTTGCAGACTTCTCCAGGCGTAGGGCAAGTTTATAAAGAACAAAATTTGTTTTGAAGATTGTGCCCAGCCCGTAAAGCGCTTCTCTTGTGCTTTCCTCATTAAAGAAATAGTTTGGTCTAAAAGAGACGTTTTAACTGCAGGCGCGTCTGTCTTTCTCCTCTCTCTTTCGACTTCTGACTTCCTCTTCAAAACCAGAGCTACAGCATTGTAGAGCCAAAACTATGTTTCCAAAC